TTTNCTTTAGACAAACACTCCAGCTCCTAATCCTGTTTACTCTCTCTGCTCTACAGGCAGCGAGGAAGCGAAAGATCTCCATACTGAAGGCCCAGGGGAAGAGCGCCGAAGCCATCCGGGAGCTCAACGAGTATCTGGAGCAGTGAGTGTTTCTCCAAGAGAGGGGGAGAGGGTCAGGGCCCCCCTCCTTCCCTGGCTTTTATTTTAATTAAAAAGCGAGTTTGCTTTCAATTGAGCTGGCACAACTTGTGCTCCAAATGCCAGCAAATGGTTTTTCATGTCTCAATAGTTGGATGTCTGTCATTTTTATAGTTTTATACTCACTTTTACTTTACTGTGTTACGAATTAATTCCCTTTTTTAAAAGAGATTTTATTTTTGCGTTTACAGGTTTGTTGCGGACCAAGAGGCATGGCATGAGTTGTCGGAACTCTACATCAACGAACACGAGTAAATATATTTTTTTATGCACCGTTAAGTAATCAGTTTGGCTAAACCACACGATGATGTACTTAATTATGGCATAACACACAACAGTGACCATTTTAAATGTATCCCTTAAAGTTATTCATCAGCAAAAGGAAAGTGTGTTACAAGTTACATTAAAGTTTTAACTAGTTTTTTGGAAAAGGTGGAGTCACCTTTTCATATTAATACATTCATTGAGGAATCACAATCGGAAACCGGTTTATTGCCAAGTAGTTTTTCACGAATAAATGATAAATGAAAAAATACAAGAAACGGAAATGCAAGTGTTTCTATTGACTAGCACAACACATTGAACGTGATATGCTAAGGGTCGGGACACTTCCGACACATCTTTAAGCAGTTTACATCAGTTAAAACTAAATGGCGTGGCATGTTCTTGTTGAACATTACAGAAACAACCAATATAAATGTGCCAAATTATTCAAAATGAACGTGATCAGCAACAATCAACATAGCAAAATGTTTACATTTTACCTTTTTTTAAATCTGCTGCACGTTCAGTTGTTATTTTAGCGAGAACAATTCCTATAATGGCAGATGTTAATCATTTTCAAAAGTGCCTGTTTCCAGTAAGGCGAACATATGTTGGAGATATATCTGTCAGTTTAAACTGGGCTTCACATCACACTGATGGCTTGATCTCCAGGGGGCCGTTGCTCGGCCACAATGGAAGGCGGCGAGATGCCTAACTCAGCCAGGGGTCTGAATGGAGCCCTGTCCATGTTTGTCACATAAGAGTACTTTAATAGGATTTCACTCCTAAGCCCCTCTCTCCTACATATGAGAGCAAAAAGACTCCACGGCCTCCCGCTGATATCTCAGTTGCCAAGGAGAATTGCCAGAGCAATGTAGGACATTTTTATTTTATTTTGTTTGTGTCACCTTTTATCCCTCCTTAATTGTCTGGAGGCTCAGAAGTTAGTGAAGCAGTGTTTTTTTCTAGTGTGTGTGGGCACGCTGATTCTGCGGTTGCTCCGGCACGAAGGCAGCGGCAGCAGGAATGCGTAGCGCGTTAAGAAGGCTACTTATTGGATATTTGGCGCTTTTGTCCGGGAAGGCTTTATTGCTGTAGTAGCTAGAGGAAATCCAGGGGTGAGCGGATTATCTCCCGGCTTATCCCAACACTTCTAATATCACACCATTCACTCCCACAGCCCCCTTATCTACAGGCGTGTCAATTTCTTTTCTTTCTTTTCTTTATTTTGGGTTACAAACTCCCCGTTTCCCCTCCTCCTCCTCTTCCGGATAGCCCCGGCATTATCGCCAACTCTTTTCCAGAGGCAGGGAGCACTTGCTGTGAAATTCCCAGGAGAAGGTGGTGGCACTTTTCTGCCCCCCCCATCCCCCCTCTCCCCCCAAAGCCAGAGAAAACATGGAGAAGCGAGGAAGATAAATAAACTCACTGCACAACACCCCAGGAGCTAAAAATAAACAAAGCAGTGTGTCTGCACCGCAATTGTTTGGGGTTGCAATAGTCACCAGTGTTGGCGCATTAAAACGTAATTAATAGTTTATAGTAATATTTTGTTTGTTTGCAAGCGTTGTGCGAAGCCACCGTCATAAATTGCTGTAGGGTCTCATTATGACACAGCCTTATTACTAAATTAGGTCATCCAGAATTACAGGATAAATAGTAATACCCTATTCAAAAAATACTTTGCGCAGTCTGAATTAGGGCTGCTCGATTAAGGCAAAAATCAGACTGCCAAGGCACAC